AAAGAATGCCTTAAATCCATCGTCGTTATATATGAAGGCCTTAATTTAATAAAAACTTTCACAAATATAGAATGAATGAAGTATGAATGCTTATTCAATTTCCATATGAGTGATGATGGATGAAATTTTGAGAAGAGGTTGAAGAGAGAGAAAGAGAGGGAGGGATAGAAAGGAGAGCAGGATATGTTAATAGATAAGGCGGATTCGGGAGATCTTGATATGCTCGAGAACAGAATTTATTCATAAAGCAAAACCACTCAACAATTCGTCTTCTAAACATCTTTCCAATAAAAATGAAGTTGTTTTGAAGTTTTCGGTTCCATTTTACGAATAAGTCTTCCTTATGATATGTTTATAGGTAGAATATGATTTCACTGTCTGATTTAATCTAGCAGTGATATGATTGAAGGCAACCTATTAAAAGAACAAGTCAATTTACCTATCCTTATGATCGAAGGTTCGAGAATTTCAATCATATCAGCTCTCCGGAGAATATTAGCTCTGTTGTTTGCTCAAATGTTCAATCTCTTCGCTCAAATAAATGTTCAAATAAATATAAAGACTTATTTTCACTTCACTTCATTAGTATAATTAGTAGCAAACAAATTGTAAAAGATGAGTGTTACCCTTACACTTCTAATATCGAGCCCTAATCTTTCAAAAGCAAAAGAAAGTAAGACAGACAGTGCAAAGAAAACGATTATCTCTCTTTCTTGTCTTTGTTTTCCTGTTGTAAACCTGCTTCTCCTGCATCACAGGTTGATGAGGTGGCATGGCAAATGTCACCATAATGGCAATCAAATGAATAGCAGCAGTGATGTAAAGGTAGCAGCAAAACAGTATGATGAAAGTTAATAAATTCACTAACACTCACCTTAAAATTAGAAACCAAACAGTATTGCTTTTAACTGTAATTTAACTCATCACTATGCATGCTTATTTACTTAGCAAAATAAGTCAGTTTGTAGTGAAATTAACAGAGTAAATGTGATTTGGTGCTTTGGCTGACAAAATAACTTCAGTCGATCGACCAATCTCTCTCCGAGATTTCTTTCTCACTGTTCTATTAATGCACAAAAACTATAGTAAAAATTCGCACATAAAAAACAAAATTTAAAAGATCAGAATTCAAGGAAACATAAACATAACAATCCATTAACATAATACCAGCAGTTATCAAAGTACGATTATGCACTAAAACTAACGGAGTAAGAGTCGCCATAGTAGCCCTGATCTTGGATAATAAATTCCCAAGGATAAAAAAAAGTGGATTATTTGATAATTTTGGAGTTAAAAATAAATCAGAACAATCACATTTCAAATCTTGAATATTTGAGTAAGGAAGAGGAAATTAGTTGCATGATTATGTATAATGATTAGTTGCTTCGTACAGAAAATCTATCAGAGGATTTTGAATAATTATTAGAATGTTTTTTGATTGAGTAATGCAAATTGGGCAAAGTACAAAAGCAATCCATCAAAGTAGTGATTACTATCGCTTATCAAAGTGACAGATCTCGAGAAATGATAATGCACAGATAACATTTCGTTTTGCTCTTATTATTTATGTTGATACTGATATATTTAAAGCTTTAAAATAAACAGGTTGACTATATTAATGCATTTTTATGATCTATCAAATACTGTAAGTCGAATCTTTCAATTAGTAATGCTTAACTCTGGAATCTAAGAGTGAATTTTTTGATCTTTGCTTGATACTGCTATCATTATTATTATTATTATCAATGAGATTAAATTTATTTCTTTAGAAGCATTAAAGTAACAAATCGCTTATCAAAATGATAGTCGTATCCTTTGAAATAGAAAACATATAATTCGATTGGTTCTCCAAATGATTCAACGGTGTAATAGGAGCAACTTCTTAGCCTTAGGCAGTTAGATTAAGAAAAGCTATAATAGTTGTTAGTATTTAGACTATTTATAAAACATCTGAAGTCAGACTTAAGATCAGAGATTTTTTTTGAATTACTATCAAGCAGTTACTGATATTATAATATTATTACCAGCAGCATCATCTACTTTTATGCCGTTGATTTCCTGCTAATTATAGATTATTGTAAATAAAGCGATTATTTCACTTAATTCATCTTAAGATTGAAGTGAGTTGAGAAAGTTTTAAAAACAATCAAACGAATTTAAATGAATATTCTTTATTAGAAGGACATGTTAACAAGTAGTTCGGCAAAAGACTTACAGTCCAAGTAGTGGGATAGTTAATGTTCCTGAACAGATACTAATTCTAAGGTCACTACTATCCAAATTACCTTAATGTTACTACTGTTTACTTTAATCTCAAAGTGACCTTATTTTATCGTTAGTGTCCTAATACTTTCACTTTAACTTTTTTAGAATCTTATTATTATTTGAAAGTGAAATATTTATTAAGATGAATAAAGAAGTGAGCAACATTTTCAAGTGTCAGTGATCAGAAAAAAAAATTCTGAACGGAACATTCATTGTGGAACATTTTTTAATCTTTAATATTATGTGGCATGCAGAAAGTGCCGAAATTTACTCAATTTCTAATACTTTTGATGTTTCATTGTATTTCTTTTGATCATAATGGAATTACACAATATTTTTATCCGTTATCCCTTGGATCGAGAGATCTCGGTACATTTCTGAAATATATTCCGAAGTCGTTAAAAGTGAACGGAAAAATCTTAAAATGGCTATGAAATAGATTATTGCAACAGTACAAGTAAGAAATAATACAATTCTTATTTAAAAATCTGATTTACTGGAAAAATTGGAATATTTCAGGGATCATTCTTTTCTAAAAAGATGTGGGTCATTGGCCTTATCACTGAAGAAAATTTAGAGAGATTATTTGCAACCTCTTAAATCAAAGTTTCTTTTGATATTAAATTGATATTTCCAGTTGAAGTATTGTTCGAAAAGGTTGGAGAATATGTTGCAAGAATTAATCTAGGCATTATGAAGACATTTGTTTAATTGACCATATTTTGAATTAGATGAATCGTAGTTGCAGAATTTGTTGAAGAGTTTGATTTATTGCTGAGGATTTTATGCTGTTTGTTTGTTGCATTTTGTAAGCCTAAACAATAATATTTTGACCTAATATCATTTTATGGACTTGGTCTTTTTTTCTGGATCTTTTTCACTTTGTAAAAAGCATTAGAAAATATCATTGAGCTTATTTGCCATTACATTCATTTCTGATATTTCAATGCTTTTTGAATTAACAAATGCAAAACGATTTAATAGTTAAAATAAAATCATTCTACCAGAAGTCGTAATGACCTATGAATCAATCTCGATTTGATCTTCTTAATTTGAATAATGCAAATAAGAAATAGTCTTTAGTCTTTCATTGGCATTTCGTTTTTTCCTTACATTTTTTGAAGAAAATTTCCTATCAGAAATTGGAAATACTAACAGCGTATCAAGTCATTCACTATACATCTACTTGAAACTTTTTCAAATCATAAGTTTAGAAACCGAAATTTGAACTTTCTCTGATTCTAATTGAAATTATAATTTCTCTAAGTACCTCCTTGAACATATATTTAGACGTGTATAGATTTTTAGACGAATCAATGATTCATAAAATCAGCTTCATTTACAAATATGCGTCACTTTTTTGCTAACCTAATTTCCTTTTCAATTTTCATGAATAATTAAATTAAAATTTACAACCAGAATTGAATATTTCATTGAATAGTCATTAATTCCTAAATATGCATGATTTAAATGGCAGTGGCTTTTTCTTGAGGAAAAATACTAATATGCAGAAAGCCGGAACTTCAGAATCTTAAACCACTTGTAAATCTTGAAATTTGATATTATTAAATTTTACTGTATTTTTTAGAAAAAATCTTTTGTTCCAAGAAGAAAGCAGATCTTTTTGCTCCTCCAGCGTTTCACTGTTTTAATTATTACACAAGACTTAACTTTAACAAAGTATCTACACAGAAATTAAAGTGGAATATTTTTCATTAATAATAGGCAATTAACTTTTATTTGCTACATATTCTCAAGACAAAGAACTTTCAGAATTTCTATTATTAAATTTGTTAACATTAATTCCTACTAAATTAATCTTTAAGCTGTTGAAAATTTGTAAATATATTTGATATTTTGGCCTGAACGCAATTCAACTCTATCAATTTGAAATAAAAAATATTCTCTCGGGAATAATTTTTGAGCTAATTTTTCTCATTCATAAATAGTTTTCATCAATATATTTCAGCAATTTCCATTTCTTGTTGTCTGTCTAATGAAGGCCATTTTTGTCTTTTTTTTTTTGGTGAGATGAGTTTTGATCTATTAAATCATAAAAGATTGACTTAACTCTCTAAATTTGCTTTAATCTTTCTGAATTGCTGAAAATTGTTCAAATTAATATAGTATGATCAGTAGAAATCAATTTGAAGTATTCCTTAGCTTGCACTATTTTTTGCAGGTTTATTCAGATTACGAAGTATTCAAATAGTACTAAGTTAAAAGTCAACAATCAGCAAATTAAAATTGATTTTGGTATCATTTTTTGTTTCTGGAGAAATCCCAATTCTAATTTATCCAATGTAAATGTATTGAGAATTATGATAGAGTTTTACTCATGTGAGAAATATAATAATTAATAAAGATAACTTAAGTTCTAAAATTTGTTCATATTGACTTTGTCACACTAATAAAATATTTCAAAGTTTAATTTGTCCACATTTCTTGGTCAAATATCCAAACTTTATTAAAATTTCAAATACACTGTCATTCCCTTGGACACCCATTGATTCACTTACTTAACAGTTAAACTATTAATTTTTTGCTGGCAATAAAAAATCTAACAAAACATCGAGCTGCACTCTTTTGCATCATTTATTAGCTTTTAGTCTTAGTAAATTCTGTTTTGAGACACATTTCACAATACTGAATTTTCTTCAGGAATGTTTTGCAAACACAGTGAGAATAAGAATGATTTAAGTTATTCCAAATGAATGAAGAAAGAAGCATTGTAAATGGATTACTGTTCTATTGCACTTCTGATGACCTTTTCAATCGATGGAATGATTCATCCCACAACAACAGAAGGTTTCTTGGATGATCATCCAGATTCTTATTGGCTGGTAGCGGATGTGCTAGGCATCGAGTGGCGAAAAGGATGCTTAACAACTGCCGGTTGCGCGGAACCAAAATTTCAAGTAATCAAAATCAATACTGCCAACAATGAAGCTAACTTAATTAGCTGGCCTGTTACACTTAAATTAGCTGAGGTAAATCACCAGTAAAATGTTTGCGTAAACACTGTAATACTTCCAAATCATCTAGTTAAGTTTTAATTAATTCATGTTTAATATATGTTATTATAATAAACTGAAAACATAAATTAACTTAAACAAACAGCATATATGAATCTGCTACTAAATAATTAACTCATTATTACCAACAAAAAATTCTATACGTTATTAATGAAGGTTAAGAATTTTCTAAACTTTCAGTTAAGTGACTCTAAATGTACATCATTCCTCATGAATATAATAATCACTTGATTCCTGATCACCCGGAAAAAAACTTTATTTCGAGCACTCACATTTCAAGAAAGTATAAAGTGTTCTTTTCATTTTTGTCCAAAAGCCATCATTTGAAGAAATATCATGCATAATGTAATACACTTAAAACTTTCTACGAGAATAGCTCACAACCAATAACCTTTGAGTTCTCAAGCCAAAAATGGTGCACTGATTAATGATACACACAGTTCAAATGGTTAGTAATTGAAGTACTGAGATATTGTACTCTAGTTTTCTTAAGCGTCAAGTCATCGGGAATCAGGATCTATGCAATTTGTTTAAACCTGTTGCCTTCTAAAAATATGCTCAAGAGCACTTCACAGCTCATGAAAATGCCTTTGAAAACGAGAAAAGTTATAGTTTGAAAAACTTAGAATTTAATTTGTGAAGTAAGTTAAGTGTGAACTGTTTCGCCCTTATCTTTCATAGCGCTTTGCATATTTTCAATAGTAGCATAATTTTCAAAAAATTTGGACCTAATGCTAAAAATCACGATTTTGAAAAATTTAAAACTTATTTCAGCTTCTCTAAATTTATTTCTTTCATGAAAACGTATAATGCTAAAGATTTCTGTTTTTATGCAAAAGAAAATTTAATATATATAACATGTGCTCTTCATGATTTACTTCCGTGGAAAGGGATCTGATTTCAACTGACCATTTCCATTGATTTCAGACATGAAATAAAATGATTACTATTTTCATCTCAGGAATTCTTCTTGTTCCATTGGTACTTTAAAATTTTGCAGGAAACTTCACGCTTATTCATATCGCATTGGATATCAAGAAGTGTTGGCGATATTACCTTGAAATGTGAAGTGGCTGGCTTAGATCCTACATACGGATTCCCGAGGATATGCGACACTACTCCTTCCAAACGAATTGTTGATGACCAAGTTCTCGTAAATCATCTTTTAAAGCTTAAATAATCTCTCACTCTAAAAGATATTAAGTTTATAGAACGATTATCAATCATCAACGAAGCAATATTCAAGTAATGGGAAACTTGTCTTAGAGGTGAAAGGGAAATGTTTCAATGCATCACTTACTCTACAGAAATACGATCGTTGTCCGACTTGTCTGGAACATCGTATTGCCGTTGTTGAGCAGGTTCCAAATTACATGAAATTTCATTTTCCTTATTTAGGAGAAATAAAACTGTGCTCCTTTAAGAATCGATAATGAATGAATTATATTAATTGTTGATTTATTAACGTTAAAATTAAAGGAATCATATAAAACATTAAAAACTATCAGATTTTTCAGTACACTGATCCAGAAACGAGCAACGATCTCCTTTATCCTCTTGACGGCAGCAGTTGGTTTCTGTATGCGGTATTGGTCTTGTCAGCACTTACAGTTATTTTAACAACAGCATTTGCTTGTTTATTGATTGCTTTTCTGCATCAGAAACATCAATTAAACGTGTCCACGTCTAAAAAACTCTTACGTTCGGAACTACCAAATATCACACATCCGTTACGCACCTATGAGGATGACTTAAGGTTATTACTTTTCAGATGGCAGTAACTATTATTCTGGCCATTCATATCCCAAATTATTAATCACTGTTAATTACAGATATAGATACGATGAACTGTGGGAACAGGTACCAACAATACACCGACAGTTGTCATATCGAAGTTTCAAAAACAAAAATAATTTCAGACCAGTGCCTCCTTCACTTATGGATCCTATAACAGATGCGATGGCATCAGCCCAGTCGAATTGTCGGAAAACTTCACCAAGTTCTTCTTTTAGAACTGGACCACATGATAGTGGCTTAAATCTGCCTAATATATTTCCGTAATACTTTCGATGAGAGCATCCTCGGAAGTAACTGGAAATGACTGCTTGAAGCTCTTCAAAATGTGGAATTTCTGTTGAAATATAAAACGAGCAGATAAAATTTACGAATTTCAATCTCTAACTTTTTTCATATAAAATGCTGCAAATTGTCGTCGATTTTTGATGCATTCTATGTGAAATCATTTCTTTTTAAATATTAAAAAGAATTGTGAGATATTTTATGGGAAATTTCTTATTTCAAAATAATGTTCAGTATTAAATGTTTGTCCAGCATGCATTCTGCTTGTTTCATGCTAAAGTTCACTCAACATTCGTCATCTAATTAATAACTTCAACTACAATAAACTTCCTAGAGACTTTTGTTATTCTTTCTAATTTTCTGAATTTCATTTCATTGGTGACAATGAGGATTTCAATTTACTTTTTTGTGTCATTTGAAAATAAAAATTTACATTGCAGTGCAGTTTAGCTACTCGAAAAGAGATGATTTTTAGAAATAATTTTCAAACATTTTAGTAAAGAAACGATATAAAAGTGTCAATCTGAATCACCATAGGAAATATCCATGAGAAGTGATAAAGTTCAATTTTGAAAAAATCAGTTAAGCCCACATTGAATTACAATCAGCTTTTAATGTTTGTTTTTCTGAATTTCTGTATCACAATAAATCTTTATTCATTCGGGAATATTCGCAAACACCGAAGTAATTATTGACTTAGTATTCAGTTACAAAACAATTTCATCAGAAAAGATCGACAAAGGAATACTTGAAACGAATGCTATCGTGAGCTAATGTATTGCTATTAGCACATTTAGATGTCATTACTTGCACTTGCTAAATTTCTTACTCAATTTTCATTGCATGAACAACTTTACTTACTGATTTGAATATGATATGATCAGGTGTCAGAAATTATTCGGGAATACCAATCCAGCACAACGTGATATTTGTTGTCCACCATTCCATTAGTAATATCGTTTATTTTAAAGTCAAATTTAAAGCAATATCTAGTATGTATTGAAACTCATCAAACAAAATAAAAGAAAAAATATTTTTATTCTTTTTTTGGATGAAAGATTTTCTAGAATCTGCGACAGACATTTGATTGATGACATTGTTTAGAAGTCACTGCACCAATCTTAGTTATTTTATATAAGTTTGTGATAAGCGTAGTAAAGATAGATAAGAATGTATTGATATTGTTAGAAGTATGGAAATTAATTGCTTCCAATGACCTCACTTCGCATATGTCATTTATTTCATAAAATTCATTATGTAGTGTTTGCTTTTGCTTCATTTTGATTTTCGAATTTTTCCTTGTCACCTAACTGTAAAATGTTGGAAGGTTTCTCCACTGAAACGATCTGAGGAAGTGCATTCTGATACTATCAACAAAGCAATGATTTGCTTTTATATTACTATTGGAGATTTTTTCGAGAAGCCTTTAACCATTAAACAATTTCATTTCTTAAAATTTGAACAGTCTGTAGAGGAGAACAAAAACATTTGGTATGACGACGATATCATTTGCTAAATGGTTTATTTCAAAAAATAAAAATTTACACATGCCCTCCCAGATATTCTCCATACGGTGAGCTTTTTTATTGGTGATATCTGTTCACATTCACCAACCTAAGCATCGTTATTCATTGCTGCCAGTTACTTTTGTTCCTCAATCTTTCTAAGCATTTACAATTTATTGAATAAATTTTCAAAATCTTAAGTCCAATTTTGCGCAAGACTGTCAGTGCACTGATTTCATCTATTTAGTAGTGTGATAGTCCATCAAACCGATCTATTTTCTACTCGAAACTTTCCAACCAATACAAACGTTTCCGTTTAACAAAAAATTCACATCTTTCAAATGCAGTTTTATTTCTCCCTTCAGTCTCAAGTGAAACAGAAAGACCAATAATATGAAAAGAGATTATACGATAGAATAGGAAGCTTTCGCTTAATATGATCATGCTTTGACAGAATTACTTAGCTCTAGTGTGTTCTATTCTTATGTGACTTTTCAACTTGGTCTTTAGGTCAAAAAGTTAAAATAAATATGAATAAATTTGCTAAACTTTTCAATAAAGCGAAATTATATCTAGAAGAGACTCAAACGAAGTACATTTCAAGTAGTGAATTAAGTTTGTGTAGGGATTTGATAAAATAAAACAAGCAAATGTGCTTCCTTTATCATTCAAATAGATCTAAGTACTGGACCAAACTGCTTTACTGCTGTCGTCTGGGAATTATCGGTTCTGAATTCCATCTTCAAATATAGTAAATCTCAATTATTTCAATAGCGCTTTATCCAGCTGATATTTACTTGAACTTTATTTACATCTATTTCAATTGCTTGTTTAGATATTATTTATAAAATCCAATTGCATTCTTACCAGTTTATTAATTCGTTTGTTTTTTCACTAATTTACCTTGTTCCTATTTCTTAATAGTTTATCAGTTTATCTGATTCTATCAGTTGATAGTGTTACCGAATTCGTAGCAAATGTATTGTAGTACAGATGTTGCTTATGTGCAATAATATTTCATTAAGGTATTCCTGAATGAATGTTTCATTTATTCAAATTTCCCTAATGGTAATATTATGCTTTAAAGAACTTTCTAAATTTGTGTTTATATCACATCTCAACAATATGTTGTATAGAAATTTTGTTTTTAGTATGTTTGATATTGACAGTTTGGCTGTGTAGAAGATCACTTGATATAAATAATCCACACTGTGAAGGTGTGATATTAGCAGTAGTTAATTAATTAATTAATTAATCATATCAATAGATATGTTATCAGAGTATAATGTTCTGTTTCATTGTTAGTTGTTTAGAATTTTTAGAGTCAATGAATGCTTTTTCTTGAAATTTGTTGACTGACTAATTTTTACTCTCATTTCTTGTTGTATGTTTTTTATTGCCGATCGTGTTCTACCATCAGTTGTTTATCACTGTTTTTTGTCATCACTTCCTCTCATAATTATTACCACTGTCGTCATTATTAGTTTCATGTTTCATAGCTGTTGGTACTACTAATATAGCAGTGCATTAATGCAAATGCAGTTATTTTGATTACTTAATTTCGTTATTTATACAAATATTGACTTATGAACAATGTATGACATTGGAGTGCGACTTCGGAACAGTATTAGTTAAATTGCCCATTCAAACATGTATCACTTTCATGGGTTCCATAAATTATACTTGATGTTGGTTTCAGTAATTTTCATTGTCCTTCTGAAAAATCAAGTTTAAATAGGGATAGAAGATATTTTATTCAATTTCGACTTGCTGATTTCTATTTCGCTTAAAATGCCAAGTCAAGTTCTGGTCCAATTTAATTACTTTATCTGTTTTGAAAAGCTTGTTATCATTAATAGTTATGTTGTGTAATTCTATTAAAAATAAAATCGAATTCATATTCAACTTCAAACAGAACTGTAGCCGTGGTAATAAGATAACTATTATTAGTTATGCTGAAATTACTACTGTTTGCTACAAGAGACGTATTCCACATGTTCCTTTGACATTAAGATAATAAGAATGCTGAAGGAAAGAATGAATAGCGCTTCGATCGGTGACAAAGAAACAATGTTCCATTTTGGCATACAAATCGGAAATAAAACGTTATGCGTTTGAACCATATGCTTGCATTCATTGTTTCGCCTTTTCAGTTATAAAGCTCTGAAAAAATTTACCGATAGTGTAATGATTCAAAAAATTGGAATCTAAATTTTAAAAACTCAGAAGAATGATATCATCTTACTGAAGACCTCTTTTCAACTTCATTCCAACATTATTTTAGGGAGAGGAAAGATAATTATTGATATCATCATGACGTATAATGCTGTAGTCCCATTATCAAGTAGTCTATTGAAATGTTCCAACTAATGTGCGATTTTGATCATCATAAAAATATCGGTCAGTTGATCGGTGCAGTGTCTAATTCATTAGTTTACGATTATTAAGTGGCAATTTTTATTGCATTGCTAAATAGTCAGTATGGTTATTTTGCGTTCACAGGTGCAACGTCTATGATTATTAGCATCAATCACTTGTATAAAAAAGAATCTCCACAGGTGCACCTTTTTTGCTAAGAAAGAATTTTTTTACCCCAATGGCTATATTAATATACAAATTACAAATTATTCCATACTGATATTAATATTCAAATTATTTCTATCCATATAATACCGCAGCTCATGTAATTTGCACTCTCATTAAATGTTCTAGAAGACTTGATCAATCTTTTGACCTCTTTCGAGTAAGCTGTTTTCAGGGGCAGTTTTTCTAGTATTTTAGTTTTCAGAATTAATGATACAAATGGCATCCTGTGTAGTGAAATAAGAAAATGTTTATCGGTGTGTCAGACTGGCTGCTAACAGTACTGTCTATTGTGTTCACCCTGGTATCCATTGTTCATTCCGGTTGTTACCAAAAGCAGTTATGCTGCTTAGGACTTAATTTTACTTGTATCGGAATCGACAATGGAATTGGTGATATACCTGTAAAATTTCGTTGGCAAAGGTTGAAGAAAGATCGAAAAGGCAAATGGGATCCTGCTGTTTATAATAGAAAAATGAAACGAAACGATAAATTGACGTTGCGAGAATTAATTCCTTTGGATGGTACAGGATTTGGAGCGCTCAGTAATCACGGTTAGTTATTTTGTAAAGGATTCACTTTCCCGCTACTAATTGCAAAATGTGATAAACCGTTGCTTTGATTTGATCCTCTGATGCTAATGATTTTATACCATAAATGCTTTTGTAATGAAATTCTACGGCAGAAATAATGTTTTAGCGATTGAGTAAACAAACAGTAGAAAAGTTCAGTCTTCATACTTATTTGTTTTCTTTCCGTTCCGTTCCGTTCCATTCATTCATTCATTCTAATAAGCAAGCCATCGTTTCGTTGCAACAGTAGCAAATATATTGAATCCTTGAATAATCATTGAAATAGATTTTTATAATAACTCATGTTTCAGACTATGGTCTGTTCGATAATTCCTTGAACAGTAAACGAGAACAAACTGAAACAGTAAAACTACCTAATAATACTACGGTATCACCATTTGTTCGTTATCAACTCATTTTCGGTCAGCCATTTTACCCCAAAGGAGAACAGCCGGAAACAACACTTTATTACCAACGCCACAAACTTATTCGGTATTTAGGCTCTGCTGTGAATGTTAACTGAATATTTCATTTAAGATATTAAGATTATTTTACAGAAAGTTAGAAGTATGGCCAAGATAAATGCTTATGAAAGAAAGTATAGATTTAACATTTAAAATTTTCTTGCCAATAAGAAAGGGAATGATTTTGCAGGAAATCGTTTTTTCTTGAGGAAATCATGTTCTTTGAAGTTTACATCCATCAGTGTTAATGTCATTTGTTGTTTCATGATTGTTAATTGTATTTTTTATGCTGTCGAAAGATAATATTCAAATGACATTATCACGGTAGGACTTTGTTTTCATGGTTTTTTGAATTAATGTTTTAAGAAAAAATTATGAAAGATTATCGTGAAATGATCTCAGAAAGTTATGGACTTTTACATTTAATTGCTCGTTTCAGGTATTCATTACTGAATCGTCATATTCCATTAACAGTGAAGGATTTGAGAAGTATCGGATGGCCAAATGATGTCACTAAGTTGACATTTTTGGGAAATACCGCCTATGATAATTTATGCTATTGTGATGAGAAGTGTGTGACATTTGATGATTGCTGCTCCGATTACTCATTTGCATGCCCATGTACGTTTCCCTTACTTCATTCTTTTAATCATAGAACTGTGAAGGACTGAGAGTGTACATTACTGATAGAGCTTTAAAGCTTGCAAATTTTAACTTTTACTCACTTTGAAATGTTATTTTTGAAATAATTAAATAGAAATTAATTTTCCGCACTAACATTTTTTACAAAGTACAAGATTTGACATTTTACAAAGTACCAGATTTGAAATCGGTTAATTAGGATTCCATATACAGCATCTGATTGTGCTGTAAGCGAATGGTCAGCTTGGTCTCAGTGTATTCCGGATAAGGGAAGTTGTAGAACTGGTGTGCAAACACGAAAGCGTACCATTGACAGGAAACCAAAGCACGGTGGAACTGAATGTCCATCATTGGTCGAAAAAATGAGCTGCTTTAAAGAATGTCCACAACCGAGGAGGCGACACCAACCAGGTTTATTCTGTAAAGAATTTTGAAAGCAAAAAAAGTTGTGTTTATAATAATTATTTAGTAAATGAAGAAGCGAATTTTTTTCAGAATAATTTAAAATTGTTCATATATACTATCAAAAGGGAAATGATGGCAGGTAGGTTAATTTAATTGGATTCGTCGTGACAGAGATATTTGAAAGTTCTTTCCGGTATGCTAAAATGATTGTTCTCTATAATCAGTTTCCTTTTTCGGTCATTTCAGCAATTTTCTAAAAAAGATCTAACTTTCCATAATTTAAAAATGACATTTAACTGTTTAGGAATTACACCCGTAGCGCTTCTGCTGGATTATTCATACAACAAAACACGTGAAAGATTCAGTCGTAGCAATATTTACAAGAAAATAATTGATATAGGAAACAATTTGCTTTAGTTGGTTTTCATTACTGAGATGTTTAATGTTTAACATGTTTAACATTCATAATTAAATGTCAATGATATCTTTGGTATTGAATTTCTGGATTTCCTTTTCTTGTTGAGCAGGTTTTTTAGGAAAAGCAAAAATAATTGTTAAATTATTAGTCTATTAAACTTTAACCTATGGATGTTTAGCTACTGTGGAATTTATGAATTGGGTTGGGTGAATTCAAACTGCATTGATAAAAAAATCGGTATTAAGCTTTATGCGAGCAATAATATTTGTGTAGAATGTCAGCCAGAAGCGCAACTGCACAGTAATGCCAATAAGTAAGTTGCTTATTCTTTTCCGATAATTCTTCATTTCATTTTCAATAATCTTTCAGTCTTAACAATAGCAAAACATTTAGCTGTTTGCTAGAACTCGAGATGTGTTGCAAGTGGTTAGTCACTACGATTAGAGCAAACGTCTGCATTCAAGTACTTAAGGGGAACTTCTGTCTTCTTTGTAGATGCACATCTGATCTGAATGACGGAGAAACTGGATTCTGGAAATTGATCGGACCGAAATCATGCAATGGTATCTGGAAAAGGTTATTCAGAACAAATAATTGTCGTTGTGAAATAGAATTTCCGAAGCATGATTCATTTTTGTTTGTTTAAAATTAACAGTGGTAGTATAAAGAATGGAAATAAAAATCATGCAAGAAAGAAAAAGTTTAAGTGTCGAAAAGTGTTTATGTAACTATTTCCTGTAGTGGAATGTTAAATTAGACTAACATCTACTAGTTCTTTATCTGAAATACCTCAGTATCAACGACATGCCTAAGTTGGCTTTTATGTTATGTGGTACATTACTCTGCTGATTAATTAACCCAAATAATCAATCAGTGAAATTATCTATAGGCAACGTCAATTTGATTCTTATTACAAATGCACAGTAATCAATATTTCCTAGCTTTCATCATATTTTCGCATTGAAACATTATTAGTTTACTTTATTACTGCTCTGATTTCTTCCAATTATTAGAAATTGGAGGATTGCGAAAATTATTCCAAAAAGTAGATGAAAACGCAAAATTGGTTAATAGAAAAGGAAACCTGAATTCCATGCTTGGCCCAACTGTAGGCAAGTTATTGCACCTAGCTTGTTCAATCTTTGCTTTCCATTGTTGATACCTTATCCATTCTCCTTTGTACTGCAGAAAAATGGAAACGCATTATTACTATTCCCTAATTATAGAAAGTTACCACTATATTGAAATTTTGAAGGGAGTACAACTTTAATTGATTTTTAATAGACAACTGAGTTCTGCTTTATCAATGAAATTATCGACGTAACATTTCATCTCAAGTTATTATCAATGTTGGGGAATGAATTTTATTGATTAGTTCTTTGTTTGATCAGGGATGATAGCAGTGGTAATAAAATTTCAGTTGATAAAACCAAGCAAATGTCACATTGTTTTTATAAATATGATTAAATTGAGTCATGTTTAATTGAAAGAAATTGATCTCAGATTATTTGAATTAGTCTTCCATAATATCGATTACATTGGAAAAAAGTGTGGTTTGCTTAGCATACTATGATTCATCTTTAAGACATGATAAGTATAGCATTGAGAAGCCAAATGTAGAAAGTAAAAGAGCCAAATAACCTAATTCGATTTAAACGACCTAAAAATTTGATCGAATATATTCTGCTGATGTGGCAGGAATGGAAGAAAAAGACTTGGAGTTAAGATGGATTTTCGCTTTATTTTCCGTATAAAACTACATAAAACCGTTACCCTTGCATGTCATCTAATTTTATAGTGTTATCTGTCTAGTATTTTTGATAATATCAAATATTCACTGATATCTTCGGGAAAGTAAGGACTATGCCGCAACGGTACTTCGTTCTATTTCCGTAAAGACGCATAAGTGAAAAAAAGAAGAAAACGCCTATTTAATAACAATGAATAGAAGAGAATCAGCTCACTTCTTGATTGTAAGGAAGTAAATTACCAAGCAAATAAGCTAGAAATAAGTTAAAAAGCAAGTAAAATAAGTGAATAAATAATTAGATAATCAATGGTAAAAACATTTTATCAAAAACCAATTTCAAATATTTTAATAATGTCATTTTAACTCATGAATTTCTACACTGTCATTAGACACTGGCAGTATTATATCTGCAAAAACACAAATCCATTTTGTTGCAGCAAATTCCTTAACAAAAATATGTAATTTTAAATTAATAATCAGTTTAGAATATACCTTACTGCTAGAATGAAACTTTGAAGTAATTAAATTCGAAAATAATATCCAAAACAATTAAAAGATACCTTTCATTGGCAAGAAATATCTCAAACAATTCTAATTCTAAGAAATTTTTATAACAAGCACTATAAATTATTAAAATAATAGTAATAATATTTATCAAAATGCATTATTTATTTATTGCATAATATTTTAGTAAAATTTAGAAAAAAGTAATTAGCCATATTTTAAAAAAATAAGTACTTTTTTAAATGAATGTGATGGGTATTTCTTATATGCAAACAAGAAACATTTGAATATTAGAAGTGGAAATCAGTGATAGTCCTTGTGGTAAGCTTTCTACATTATAAAGTAAATTAAAGAATTTCCAGGAAATCAATTAATGAAGAATGAAAAAGAAGCGTGAACTTTGCGAGGAAAATTATTCAACTATTCAAACAATGATTTCCTGTACTTTATTCGTTAAAAGGAAGCATCCCGGTTACAATCAGCGTCTACAGTTGCTGATAATTTAAAAACCTATGCTTTAAATGCTGAAAGGGACGAGTCTTGTTTGGTAAGATGGCTTATTACCGTATTCAGAAGTTATGGTATGACCTCTTCTGCTCACATTAACAGAAACTACAAACCGGTTGTAAATGATTTATAAAGAAAACTATAATGTGCCAAAACAATATTCCCACTGATAAAGTTCTGGTGATAAAACATCGACCTCAGTTTTGTACCCATACAACATCACCAACTTTATTGTTTCCTCAACATCTGGGAATAATTTCTTTCTTTTCGGCTTCTTTCCTCTGAAGTTTAATTCTAGAAGAAAATTTTGACCGAGATCGATAATTAAGAATTTCTTTCATACATTCTTGAATTCTTTCCTAATAAGCCTCCCATTCCCCATTATCAAGCTTTTGTTTACGATCGCTGTTAACATCTGTAAGCAATATGTGCAGTTTTGTGTAGTAAAACTCAATCCCTTCTCTTATCTCACTTTTCATCCGATCCCAATATCATCATCTCAAATTCCCTTACTATTTTCTCCATTATTTATAACCACTCATCTCTATACTGCTACAGTATGATCATAGTCATTTCTGATTTCCACCTTTGAAATCGATTTTAATTGACAACAAAACATTTCACAATCTTTTGTTAAACATTTTGAAAACATTTTTAACAATTTCATTTCATAAGGTCAAGTAAATGATGATGACATTGACATGACAATAATTTCAACAGATTGTTATCAGTAACTAAAGCAGCTGATATTCTCTGCTTAAACTGCAATAGATTTTATCAAATTAATCGATCACAATCGAACGATCCTTAATTTCCAATTTATTTCACTCACAATGATATCAGAAAAAAAAACCAATCCCTTTCAGTGATCGCTATTATTTGTTCTTATCTGTTTCTCTCTTCTTTACCGACTCGTTCCTTCACACAAAAGAGAATCACAATGACTAATAAAGTACCTGTAAACTGATACCATCGACATTTCGCACCTTTCCGACTGGCAAAACCCATGAATATCACTTTTAGACTCACAAGTTACGACATTATCCTCTGAAGTTTGTTTACAAAAAACACAAAGGACAGTTCTCCATAAATGTAATTTTTTTATGTCCCATTCAAATAGCGAATCTTTTTTATGTCCTGTTCAAACAGCAAAGCTAAAATAAACAAAGCTCTAGAGTAGTAGTCTTTAGAGTAGTTAAAAAGGATAATAAGTCAATGTAGTTAAAAAGGATAATAAGCCAATCAGACATGGCTTCGGCCAACTTTGCTTATCAGAAAGACAATCCCTTTTGCGCTATGGCTGATAGTTAACTTTATTGATTACATCGAACTTCTTTGTTCCACGGATGACGCTGCTGTTGACACAGTTTCTGTTCCTGTTGTAGTTGCGTTTACGGGCGGAGTTGTTTCGGTACCTTCATTAAACCAACCATTTTCTTCTTCTATAAGTCAAACTACGAAATCCTCAGGATTTTGCTGAAGTTTTGGAATGAAATTTTCTTAGATCACAGATTTAATTTTGGAAAAAAACGGACCTGTTTTAATGAAAGTTTGCATCGGTGATGTGTCATCGGTTGAGTAATAATGTGGAAGGGAAGCCATTCCACCTCTCCACATGTTGAATGTCGTTTGCAAATTACCATCACAAAGTTGCATCTCGCATCCGAACAGACGACATCCATCGCCATTCATCTGCATAATTTTACGTTTAACAGAGTTTTAAGAAATTCCGATGTATTCCAGAGAGTCCTCAAAAGAGAATTCGAGAATGAAACTGCTCAAAGAACAAAAGGAATTTTGATATCAAAGTAATAAAATGATAGGAAATGTTGAAAACCTGATCTAAAAAGCGAATATAATCTGTAGCAATACGTAGTGTATGAATTTTACTCATTTTATCAGATGGTAACGAGGGAACAATTCGTCGCAGAATGGCGAATGCATCATTTAGTTCTTTTGTTCGTTGTCGCTCACGACGGTTTGCTGCGACACGTTGTTGTAATGCCTCCTCTGGATTATCTCCCTATGCATGATAATGATAATAATGATGATGTTGATAACGACAATGGTACTAATGACTATGATAATGATCAAGCAATAATAATTAATGTTTAAGAATAACTGTTAAAAAAAAACTGAAAAATTATAACATAATCTAAAAATGAGATAAAATGTTGTTGCAGAAAGGACAGGCGGGAATTTTACAAGCAATTAATTTTCCTTTTATATAATATTTTTTAAAAACAAAACTTTAAAAATGTCCAATTTTATTGCAAAGGATTCAGACATAATTTTTAAATAAGTTTTGAATATCAATATGGTTTTAAGACTTTGATCAAAAATGCCTATCAAAATTATTAAAATAAGATCCATTTTGATCCATTTTTAAAATTTGCCAGTAGACTTTTCGGTACAGTTGACATTAAAGGTTTACTAATTTTATTACTGGGATAACCTTCAGAAAGTTAAGTAGAAACGAAATGCATAAATTGATGCACTGCTATGAAAAGAGCAATGTGATAATAAGTGATAGTGGTGACAGTCATCACTGTAAAGATAAAAGGACAAAATGAATTAGCCAGTAGCATAAATCAGTGCGCAAAAAATATATTTTTTGGAGTGTTTCAAGAATATTTGTACATAAATTGGATTGCTCACTCCGTTACTCTTAGTGAGGAAAGCTTTGATGTTAACTTCAAATATCAATGAATAAAAAAAGAAATACCTTACGCCTATTAGACCGTCTTCTGGTAACCATCTGGAGGGATAAACGATGACTTACCCGGAAGATATATCAAAACTCCTGCACCGCCCATTATCTTCCTCTCTCTTCTCATTTAACATCTTCCACACTTAACATTAGTATCATCCTCTCAACTTACGATCCTATTCACTGCTCAGTCATTTGTTACGATGATATATGCGCAGAAACGGCGGCTAACGTATGATTGTTTTATATTAATGTTATGCTCTTCTGAACTCAACCATTCTTCCAAACAACAAATTGAAAGTTAACTTTAAAATTTCTTTAGTTTTAATTAAAATGTGATTTTAAAAAAATGGAGCACTTCAGTTGTAAGAAAATTTTATACAAACAAAATCAAAAAATGAATCAATCATATAAGAATTATTTCGATGATCAGACGAAGTCAATATAAATAAATATCAGCCTTCTTCTGGTAAAATTATGCACATTTATGATTTCATAGTTTAAAAATAAAAAATGAAATTAAAAAAAAACAAGCAAAAACAGACTATTTGGGATGATTTATACGAGAATGAAATTACGAAAACATAAGTATCTGAGAAGCATATTGAATAAATTTAAATGAAGAAGCAGATTTTCGACCACAATAGATAGAGCGAAAAAATGTTAACTTGTTAAGGTTAGACTTCGATATGCAAATGATGAAGAGGAAAAACGTCAACCTACACAACTTTCTGGTTTCAGTTCTTCGAATCTCCGTTTATCTTTTAACAGATTGCGTGTATCTGCACTGACTTATTTGCATCAGCTTTTTTTGAAAATATGCTGGCAAAAAGTTTCGTTTTCAAAAATCTTTTAAACTTGAATTTCAAAAAAAAATTTGAAAATTTCCTAAAATTATCCATAAAAATGCCATCTCATCTTCTCTTAGCCAAATGCATGTGAGAATTCGCTGACAGTTGAAAGATTAAGTTCAGTAAGAGTCAAATTAATAATTGCCAATTTACGAAGCAATTTCTTGCCATCATTTCTGCTTCTGTTTTATATTTGAGAAGATCGTTAATTACAAGAGCGTCTCTCCCGCTGTGTTCCTTCTGGATATGAGCAATCACAGCATTCTCGTCATGCAATGATTCAAATGGACATAGCGAGCATCTTCAAATAACAGAAAAAAAAGAGGAAGAAAATGATAAAGGAAGAAAAAATAAATTTAAACAGAAATTAGCTAGAAATGAAGTTTTTGCAGAGAGCATTTGACATTGCTTCTCTTCTCTAAACGGCATTGCATTTGTTTAACCCTTTGTTTTAATCCATCAACGATAGAAAAAATGATGAAAGCAAATGTTATTTTAATTTTCCGATTTATCACTTCATTAACTTTAGCCACAAATCAAAGAAGGCAGTGTTTAAATAAATCCCCAGATTAAGTTGTATAACACTGATTAAATTTCCTTGGAGTTTCAATAAGCAAAATATGTTGGAGCATAATTCATTCTCGAAATCTCGGATTACATTGAGAGATTTATTTCTCAGCTCAATAAATTTGCATATAATAATTCAAACCTGAAAATAACTTTTTTAAGATGCTTTTCTAGTAGATGAGCCATTCGTCGTTTCTTACTAATTGTAGCGCCACACTGGCGGCATTTCGCCCTACGTCCTCCTTCAGAAATAGTAATATTCGACAAACGTTTTGGTCGTCCCGGAAAGCAGCGGTCATGCATTTCCGAGAAATCTGCTCGATGTTCAATCACATTAGCTATCGGTTCTAGACCCTTAATTTTTTTTTTTTTTTTTTTTGAAATTCATAAGCTCTTCTGAGACGCGTTGATATTTATGCTATATAATAATGTAAGTGTGTTAGGATCAGTAAAATTCTATAAAATAAGGAGAACTCGAAAGTGTCAAATTCACAAATAAAGTCAGCAACCGCAACTTACTTTAATCTCCTTCCTTCTATGTCCATTTTTCATATGTCTTCGGACAAGACGACTCTCGGCAGCACCGTAATCACAAAGAGGACACTGATGAAGTGACATTTTCAAATGAACTTCAGCAATATGACGTGAAGTTTGACGCACTTCCACATCACAAATTCGACATCTACCAAAATAGAACGTTCTCTTTGCAGTAGATAAAACTAAGTGTCAAAATTCAGATAAATCTGAATTAAGAAATAGGTTCTGTTTGCTGGATGAATATTTGAAAATTAAAAAACAAGAAACAGCAATAACTTATTGAAATCTTCTAGTGCAGAAGTTGGTAAACGACGATTGATCCAACCCGGAAAACAACGCAAGTTCCATATTGCTATTTCTTTTGAAAATTTCAGTAAATTTGCCGTGGGTGCTAAATCTGCGTTATCTCGATGCGCATATCTTAATTTCAAGAAAATTTTCAGGAATTTTTAAAAATTTTAAAGTTTTAGGTGATAAAAAAATTTTAACAAGGATCAAATCTATCGCATATCTTTGTGCACTTTTTAATGTGACCAACTTGATATGTGCCCTGACGTCTGATGAACAAGCGTGATGAGAGAATTCACAAAGTGGACATTGGTAAAGACGGGGTTCCTTTAGATGATGTCTGTATACATGAATCTGCAAATTAAAGGCATAATACTACTTCGAAAGCTATTTAGAAGTGAATATTGCTTTATAAAAGTCATTAAAAAATTCAACAAATCAATTTAGAGAATACTATTGTTTAAGACCAAAAAAATACCTGTCGATCTTCAGTCTTCATTTCTTGGCCACATTCATGACACTGAACCTTAAGTGCTTCGAAAGCCTTCCCATTTTCACTCGCCTTCTTTTCTGACCACAAGTTCTGAGGCAAATCTTGATGATAATTTTAAAGACTTTTAAACAGCTTTATTGTGTTATACATATTAATAATTCTAGCAATTTCTCAGTCATTTTTTCACTCTTAAAATTGTCAATTAGAAGTTTACCTTGAGCTTTCGTCCTGGAAAACATTGCTGATACATTTTCTGTAATTCGTCTGTATGTTCTTCGATATTCGACACGGGTTCTTCCATACATTCACCGTGTAATTTCTCCATATGAGATCGTATTTCATAGGCATCTTGTCCTCCATGACCTTTACATATTGGACACTGATAAAGGAAAATCTTGAGATGATCCTTCGCCACGTGACGTAAGAAATTCGATGAAGGTTTAAATTCTTTTTTGCAAAGCTGCAAGTGCTTCAAGTTTTCACACTGTGCAGTGTTTGTTCTCAAGAAAAAAAAAAAAAAAAAAAAAAAAAAAAAACAATAGTTCAGGCATTGAATTTCAGGGTTAATTCAGGTCAGTTCAGTTCAATTAATCATATTAATAAATTAATGTATAAAGAAAGGAATGATTAATATTAAAACATTCGGTCATTTTGATTCGGTAATACTTTCACTCCACGCTTTTTTAATATGGTTTACAACAAATTGATCGAAACGTAAATTATGACATTCTCAATAACAGGTAGCTTCAAATCAGAAAAAGAAAAAAAAACGAAAAATGAAGACAAAAATACATATATATTTGTTTAATAAAAATTTTGCATTTCCATAAAACCACAGCTAACCATGCAAGTCCACTCATTCGGTTTTTTACAAGGCTCTTCCTGAAGTACAGGTGGTTTACTAATGACTACCTCCGTTGATTTCTTCTCTTCCTCAACATCTGCTATCACATTTTTCTTTACCTGCAAATCAGATTATATAAAACGGAAAGTCGAAATCAAATAATGTCTGGGTCTTATTTTCAGTGACAGTTATGCATTACCGTAGGAGAAAGAAAAATAGTTGAAATTTTGAAAACTTTATAGAAAATCTGAACATTTTGCTTGGTTTCTTCGATGTCCAACCACCAAAACTGCCTCCGCCTATGTTGCCAACCCGGAAAACATCGCTCGTTTAATCGATCTATTTCTTCTCTGAAAATCTAAATTTATGATTGCAAAGTGATTGTAAAACTAACTTTAACCTTCCAAAAAACTGAATGGTCGCAGTATGATCTGTGGACGAAATTTGAGTGATTTCAAAAGTCATAAAATAATGGAAAGAAGAGATATGTATTTCAAATGTTTACTTCTATCAAGAAATTTGCCTACTTATAATCATTTTCATGAGAATAAGGTTCTCTGTTTGAATCATCTTTATGCATCCATTTAATATGCCATTTCACACGATGTATATCGTAGTTTGAAGCAAAAGAGCAAAGAGGGCATTCGAAAATACGTTGTTGCTTTAAATGACGATGGTATACATGCCGTTGACGATCTGATTGCGCCACCTGAAGAGATGAAATTTAAATTTGAAATTGAACAGATATTCAGCATAATGAATAATTGAGTGGTTCTGTGCATCCTTCACATATCACAGAAATTGGTAGTTACACACCTTTTTGAATCCTTAGACTGGATTTTACCTGTATTTTACAAATTTGGCAAATGTGACGCTCTCGAGGACGACTACGACCGACATGAAGTCGAACAAGCTTCATTGGTCGGTTTGGAAAACATTTCTTCTACAATATTTTTCCTTTATCAATACTGATGTACTAAACAGTGTTACGAAATAGGATAAACAATAAATTTCCAATTAAGGGGATTAAAAATCTGATGAAATGTTTTTGACGATCTAAAATATCTGGGTAAAAAGTACATGAAATGAAATGACTACCTGTAAGTCACGAATTTCCTGAGCATATCTATCCAAATTGGAGATGGGAATAGCATCACACTGTTCCGGATGAATTTTGCTGATATGTTTAGCAACAGTACAACTTTCGTAACTTCCAAAATCTTGACAAACTGGACATTGGTATAGTGATTTCTTCAAATGTTTTTGAGCTATGTGACGTCCTGGATAACGAGATTCTTCCCTATAAATGATCCCTGTTTGTTACATGCTCACATCTTTAATTAATTTTAATTAAAATTAAACTTCATCGATTTCGCAAATATTTAAATTCAATTCACAAATTAAGAAAAGATCAAGTCCAAAACCATTACCAGCACAGATGACACGTCCGATCGTCTACAACAGCTCC